AGTTGTCTCATTCCCAGTGTTTTCAAGTGTATGGCTTATATCCTCATGTTTTTGTACCACGTTTCTCAAACATAAGATATGAAGATATAACCGAATGAAAACATTACTGTTGGGGCAATGTGCAATATATGAGAAGATCTAATGCATGTCTGTAAATTGTTTTTAGGGTTTTGGCTGTTAATTTCTTTATCTTTCTTAACAGGCTGTTGTCTGATGATTGCTATTTTTGATTAGCGAATGCAGATGACCTTTAACCCATTGACTGGTGATGCACCCTACTTTAGTATTTTACTCTGTCTAATGCCAGATGATTTTACTCGTCAAGGGAAGAGCGCTGGCGCTTAATGGGTTAACTGGCCTATGTGACCATGTGTCCAGTTAACACATTGAGTGGCGATGCACCCTGATGCACCCTACTTTAGTATTTTACTTTGTCTAACGCCAGACGGCAAGAGCGCAGGCGCTTAATGGGTTAATTAAAAAAATTGTCCAATATGATTAATATTATTGTTGTTTAGGTAAAACTAGCTGTTCAAGTCCTAAGTAGAACTGTTGCTACTTGTTTGCTTGAGAGTGAAGACCCAAGTGTTGTTGGCACTGCAATGTTCTGCCAAATTATCAATGATTTTTTTGATTGTTCAAATGTCAGATCATTGACTGAGTCTGAAAGAAAGAGGAATGACCGGATCAAGCCCTATGAAAGTCCTGATGACCAGAGGCTTGTTTGGATAAAAGATACTTTCCTAAAGTACCTTGAAGACTGGCGATCAAGTGTTGCCAAAAGAAGTGATCATCCATACACCGCAACACAAAGGGAAAAGATGTTCCTATCCCGCCAGACCTATGAAGGCTTCAAAATAACAGGTCATTCCCACATCGAAGCCATTAAGTTTCTCCTCTCTGAAGGATTCTCATATGTCCTTTCAGAGCGTTTTATGCAAGATGTAGTTGAAGACTACTTTGGCCATCAAAGAACAGTGCGAGGCCGGTCAGATAATCCTTCTGCACAGCAGTTTGGTTATAATGACTTAACTATTGCTGCACAGTTAAGAGAAACATTGCTCCATCAGTGAGTGGCAACGTGGGAGGAAGATATGGGAAGCAAAAGTGGTTTAGTGTTAGTGAGGAGCCAGTGAAGAAGAGGGTTAAAAAAAAGAAATAATTTATTTCAAACAGTAACATTTCAAAAATAGACCCTTTGATAATTATGTCATTTATATTGTTTGGCCTATGAGCCAATCACATTTCAAATTGAAACATGAGCATATAAGGCTTCTAGACCAAGATGAACTGCATGATGTAATTATTGAAAGGGGTATAAATTAGTTGCATGCAATGATGCAAATAATTTTCAAATATCAATAATTTTCAATAATTTTCAAATAAGCTATTCTTATTGCACAAACTGCAAAGAACTATGCACAAAAAGATGGCTCTGATTGGTGCTTGGAAATTACTTTAAAGATCTGGTAGAAGTATAATACAAAGCAAAGTCTGAAGTCAGACATTTGAGTACTAAACTAAAAAAATATTTGTTCCTCAAATATTAACTTCAAATGTCTTTGCTTTGTATTGTTGCTGTAGATCTAATAGTCTGTAGATAAGGTGTCTACATGACAGAACACTGTTGAAGCCAATATAGTGTAAATATATATAAGTATTTTGAATTTTGATACAGCACACACTCATGGTTCACAATGTCACTTGTGGTTCACAATGTATGATTGTAAGGTTAGAAGCTCAATGTTGTTGAGGGTAAATCAAGGAATTAATAAGTATATAGTGGTACGGTAGTGATATTTACCCATTAAGCAACAAAGCTTTCTCATGACATTAGACAAGTAAAATAAGATAAATACATCCTTTTCATAAATGGCTGACGATTAAAAATTATGTGCATATAAATTGGACCAACTAGCCTCGTTTCTGGGTAGAAATTCCTTTGAAATCTTAATATGAGTACGAGGCTAGTTGGGCCAATTTATATGCACATAAAATAATTTTTAATTGGCAGCCATTTATGAAAAGGGTGTATAGGATGCTAATTTCAGTCTTGAAAGATTGAAATTAGCTTTTCATATCTCTGAAGTAGGATGCATTGCAGCCCAATTTAATATGTTATTCAATATTTTGGGCAATAAAGCACTCTCTGATTAAACAGCTTCGATTAGAACACTTTATTCAGAGACTTGAAATCAATCCTTTAGCCCTTTACAAAATACCCTTATTTAAACAATAACTATATGTACATGATTTAAAAGTGTTTTTATAAAATGCAATTCAGTTCGCGACTAATTCATTCTGCCTTTTTAGTTCTTTTCGCAGTCCTTTGCTCTTTGCTGCTTTTTGTTTGATTTTAAATTTGCTAATATAGTCTTTTGCATATGAAAAGCTGCGGACCTTTAAATAAAGTTTTATAATGTTTTCCAGGCAAAGCTTGGTAGTTTGTTTGGACAAATCTTGGTTGCATTCCTGCAAAATGTTTTCCCACAATGACTTGAGCAATGGTGATTCAAGTGCATCATTGCATAAGGAATCACAAGGAATTTTCTGCAGTAAGTCTTTTTGCTTGGTGACAAATTGTCGAAATATTACCTCAACAATTTCTACAATTTCCACCAAGTCCTTGCATGGTGTCACAAGTCCACCCCTGCTGCGAGCATCAATATAGGTGTTCTCAATACCAGGGCATTTCATATTTTGAAGTAAAGTCTGGAGCTCGTCATTAGGTTTACTGGAACACTGCTTTTGCAATTTTGCTAATATGTACCCAGCAATGTAGGACAAGGGTCCACGTTCGTGTTCACTTAGATCCAGAGACTTGTTACTTGAACCTGAAGTTATTTGCTCACTATTATGGTCAGACTTAAATAATGCCACTAAATGGTCTGTCATGGAGATCATTACAAGGCTACATAATGGCTGATTTGCACACTTGAAAAGGGCAGATGATGTGGGAATAAGCTCATAGAATTCTGTGAGGAACTTGTCTTGGTTTCGTTTATTGCAAAATCGCTTGTATATTGGCAGCACAGCGTCAAACAAAGAATCGTTTGAGGTGATTTTCGTCAAATCCGATGTTATTTGCTTGTCCCAATAACCTTCATTCGTTATATTTAACTTTATTTTATTCACGATGGAGATTAAACCATCCTTTGTCAGTGCGGGGATGTCTTTACTTGCCTCATATCCTTTATCTCGATGTTTGGAATTCACATGCCTGGTCAAGCCACCTTTCGATTTGCAAATCTTGTCGCAACTATGGCAAGGAAACTGCTTTTCACCTCCTATCTCTGATAGTGCTTCCACGAAATCAGTTTCTATATCTTCTTCGTCCTCTTCAAGAACATCTATGGCAATTTCGAAGTTGAACGGCAACGTTTCCTCGAATAGTCCTTCCTCGTATTGTTCGTCTGCGAGAATCTCCCACTCCTCGGGAACTTTGCTTTCATCGATATTCGCTTCTACTGGTTCAGGAATAGCATAAATAGCCTCCAAACTTTCCTCCATTATTTCTCCTTACATAAACTATTTAGAAACGTCGATTGTTGGCTCCTAATAATGTTAATTTTCGCAAAATTCTGTCAAAACCGCAACACTGTAATATGATCCTATATAATTTCTGATGCAGCCATGCACTAAAGAGATCACGTGACAATTGTTTTGTTTGATCCTCAACATAAATGCCGCCCGTCGCGATTTTGCTTTGAAGTTTACCGGCTAGCCAAACCATCTTATTTTATTAACTGTGATATAGGAGACCCAGATTGCTGACTCTAATGTTTTCTATAATGCACGCGCGTGACACTCATGAGCATTCAAAATGGCGGCTCAACCGGGCAAAAATCATAGAGCGAGATAGGGAAAAACCATGTTTTTCGCATTTTACGCCTGCCTACTGTTTCCGATCCCGTTGAACCACCTTTTTTAGGGAAGAACTAACTGGTGTGAAGGTTTTGGATGAATATTTGTACAATTTAAGTTTAATAAAGACGAAATAATCGATCGCTAAATGTTATCTGAAAATCATCACATAGTCGGTTGAGCAGTTTGAGATATTTTGTTACAGAAAATAAAGGTTTTGGTTCTTTGGGTGCTTTTTTTCTCGAGGATCTCGGTTGGGATATATAACAGGGAATAATATTGTGAAGTATTTTGATGTTAAAACCTACTTTACTTGATTCATTTGGTCTGCTGGTGCGAAAATTCTGATGCTCTGTTTAGTGTGACTTTGACAACCTCCTTGCTGCTGCAGATGTCAAGGGATCTCAAGTCTATATGGCCTGGACAGTGAAAAGTGATGAATCAATCAGGTTTGTAGAGAGAACTAATGACAGCGAAAGTTTTCAATGGAAACTAGTTTGAAGAAATTGACTAATTTGTCTGGTATGCATCAAAAACCTTCACAGTATCTAGTTCTCTCCAAGAAACCTGATTGATTCATCATTGATAATCAAAAATACATGGGACGGCATCTTTGTTTAGATATTTCTTGGATAAGTTGGATTGACCTTTTATTGATTGCTCTCCACAATCAGCACTCTCCCCTTCAGGCACTCTCCCCTTGAGACAGCTGACTTAAGCGTCAGCACTTTCCCCTTGATGAGTAAAATTGTCTGGCGTTAGACAGAGTAAAATAATAAAATAGGGCACAAACCGACTCAATGGGTTAACTAGACACATGGGTAGATAGGCCAGTTAACCCATTAAGTGCCATTGCTCTCCCCTTGATGAGTAAAATTGTCTGGCGTTAGACAGAGTAAAATAATAAGGTGGGGCGCATTGCAACTCGATCGGTTAATATAATCATTGGGTGTGAAGTGTTTCTCACACAAGACAGGGTTTGTACGGGTCCTGGGAAACCTGGAAAGTCATGGAATTTCAATATTCCAAAATCCAGGCCTGGAAATCCTGGAAAATCAATTCTAGTCATGGAAAGTCATGGAAAATTGAAATTTTACATGACATTAACAAAGTATTTTACTTAATTCAATTTACCAGTCATAATAATAATATGAATTGCTGTTTTCAATTTACCAGTCATAACAATAATATGAATTGCTGTTATATAACAGATTTTTGCAAGAGCGAAGTGAATTTTGTTCTTTTACTATATCTGTTATCGTTAAAATATTAACGAATTTCAGAAATTCCAGACTTCCAGGTCATGGATTTTGAAAAAAATAGTCATGGAATTTTAAATCGGAGAAGGTGTACGAACCCTGAAAAGACTGGATATTTGATTGGCATCCAGTCTACCCATTTCATTTTTTAGCAGGCTGGGGTTGGTTATAGGAAATCCAATAGTGCAAAGGGAAAGATGTATTTTTGGTTCACTGATGTGAACAAAAGTAAAACATTTTTGACCTTGAACAGGACAAAGACCTCTATGACAGTTGTTGTCAACATGCATATATATAGAGAGAGAGAGAGACTCCTAACACAGATTGACACAGACATCAAAACAAGTTGTTTGGTCTAATATTCTTTTATTAAAACTGTAAATAGTTTTATATTGTAGCTAGCAAACTCAAAACTACATTTGTTGTGACGTTGTCATTACAGTATTTACAAAACAAATTGTTTTTATTCTATTAATATGAAACTATTCTGTTTATATGATGTAAGTTATAGACTTATAGTGTACAAATATATGATGTGTGTGTTTCATAGACTTACTTATGGAAGGAAAAGCGAATACCATCTTTTAAATCCCCACGTCTGCCTTGCACTAATACGATGAACACGATTCAGGCCGACATTCAAGCATTCGTTTCGATAAAACCCCCCAGATATTTTAATAGAATAGAAAGCCCTAGAATTTTCAGATGAAAATACTGTATTTTGGTCGAAATAACAATCAAAGAACAAAATAAACAGTAGTAGCTTTTGGAATAATTAGATATATATCACATTACTTGAGAAAAAACTCGTAAAAGACTGAAGGAATATAAAACAGGAAGAAACTAGACGAAAAGTGCGCGAAACTGCAGGCCTGCCCAATCTTGCCCGCTTGAATTGTAATTTGTAAATTGTATTGATTGTAACAAATATTCATCCAAAACCTTCACACCAGTTAGTTCTTGCCGAAATAAAGTGATAGAACGGGATCGGAAGCTGTAGGACGACGCAAAATGCAAAAAACATGGTTTTCCCCTATGTTGTTCTATGATTTTTGCCCGGTTGAGCCGCCATCTTGGATTTTCAAAATATGTCACGCCGGTTGAGCCGAGTCAGCAATCTAGGTCTCCTATATCTATGGTTTGTACACTTCTGATGTCTTTAAACGTTTTTAAATAAAACAATTATTGGATTCGGCTTTCAGCTCATGACATCAGGAATGTATTCAGAACCCCCCCCCTCCCCTTCCACCTGTTTCAATATTGAAATGCTATTATCTTCCTGACAGAAATATAACGTGACCAGACAACTGCAAGTGTGACAAAGCAACTTTGAAATGGGGGAGAGGGGTTAACGGCAAAACAAGAGGAAAGAGCCTGGGAACGAGGTTGGGTTAACGGTTTGTCTCAAATATTTTGTGGACGATTGTTGCCTCGTTAACAGGCGCTTTTGGGTCTCACGTCATCAACCGCGCGTGGAACGACGATAAGCCATAGCAGCAACGCCATAGCAGCACGCACCCATATTTGCAGTTAGAGCGATGTCAGCGACATTATAGTATTAAGTATAAAATAGTCCAGCCTGTTTTCGGTGTTAATTAGTTTTATACCTGCAAGTTGATAGGGCAGTTGTAGTATGATACCAGTAATGGCTTGCTTTTTAATTAACCCGCACACTGGTATATTAAGGCCATTTTCCATTGCAGTCGCTTTGCCCGAGCGGGCGGAGCGAACATTACTCAACTTTCTCTGTATTTATCTATCCTGTGCATTTTTTGTCCGCCTGAATGCTCGCGGACACGCCATGAAAGTAGAACTACATTCAACTTTCTTGACGTGCCCGCGCGACGGGTAAAGCGACCGCAATGGAAAATTGCCTTTAAAATTCAAGATCTGTGCATGCAGGTTTGATTATAAACAGGATTATAAAGCTTTATATTAAAATTTTTCGTATGTCCGGAAAACCTTTTGCGAACTTCCCCCCGCTCGCCAACAATTTTTGGAAAACTATTAATTAGCGACTGAAATGTTGTGGGCAAATGCGGTACTACATCCCCCCCCCCCTTATCCTCTTCCCTACGGCCCCTGCAAGTGATTGATGTTAATAAAGACCTTTGATCTATTTCCCTTACCTCATGCCGAAGATCCCATTATAAAATACGTTCTAAAACCAGCACTTATGGATTGCCTGGATTGTAATCAATTTGGTTTTATACCAGGTTCTAATACCACGTTGGCATTAATCGCATTAATCCATCGTTGGTCGGAGACAGTAGACAAAGTGGGCGGATATGTGCGATCACAGGCATATTGTCGGAAAGCTTTTCATCTTATAGATCATAATATTCTCTATGCAAAACGATTAGAACGACAATCATAGAATAATTAATTGGGACAATCACTATAAAAGTGTCACTCAAACATCATTGTGATATCTATAAAGAGAAAACTATTACAGGCTGTTTTTAAACTATTGCCGCAGATCGTACATTCATACATAAACGTTACCCTGCCCTCCCCCTCCCCCCCCCCACCTTACAATGTTGGTTCCGCGGCTATTTCCTATCGCCAAATGTTGTGTAATGCTCGTGATTATCATATGTTCTTGAACACAACATTGTATGGAGGATGGGGGGGGGGGGGAGGTGGAGGGAAGCACAATGTAAGCCCAAAATATTGTACTTTCTTTTCAAATAATAAACGTTTTCAACTTGTCCCAAAGTAATTGTTCCATGATTGTAGGTCTTAAACCATCGATCTTAAACTCGATCTCAGATTTTTTGAGAGGAAGATTACAGAGGGTAAAGCTTTCCTCGAAATTTTCTCAAATTGAAAATCTGTTAATGCTGGTGTCCTCCAAGAACAAGCTTGGCCCATGGCTTTTTCTGGTCACCGACCATGTAATTTCCAACGAACAGTTTGATGGGGATATGATGAAATACGCGGATATGATGACACTAGTGTTTCAAAATACATCGTTGAATACGCAGATACAGGGCCGCCGAGAGCTTGGCGGGGGCCCGCGGCAAAAAATTTTTAAGGGCCCCTATTGCAAAAAAATTTTCCGGAAAAAATTTTTCGGACAATAAATTCTTTTTAGGTGCATTATAATTGCTTTC